AAAGAAAAAAAAAAAAAAAAAAAAAAAAAAAAAAAAGTATGGGAAATTGATACGAAAATTGCTAGTGTATTTCTCTCTTGAGATGAAGATCCCCTTTACATGGCCACTGGCCTCTATATTTATACATAGCTAAACGACATTTAAAATGAGTAATTAAGTACAATTATTTCTTCTTAAATGCGTCCGTTTTGATTCTTCGGCTTTAATGCTCAACGTTTGAATTTGAGTTGACTCTGATCTTCATGGGCCTCGCCTCTTTTGGCCCAAGTGTCCTTGAACCGACTTACCCGTGTCTTCTACACCGAACTCGTGTCACAGTGCAGTCACTTCGGATTCTCGAAATGGTGACAACCACTTCGACCATCCCTTCGGCTCACGGATCCAATGGGCTTCATCCTTTACGGGCCATTATCCTGATTACGTGGCAATCTTTGGTTGGTCTCGTACTTCTGGTGCGGGATCCGACACCAACAATTAGCCCCCCAAGTTCTTCGAAGTGCTATTCCAATTCGGAGGACTTTAAATGCTCAAGTGGCCAAAGATTGCGCTCGAGAATCTTTCTGATTTCCCGCCGAAAATCTCATCACTCCTTTAATTTCGGCACTAGCCATTTTTAACCGAGTGACATCTGTCATCATTATGACCGTATATTGATTAATTACTATTAAAACGGGAAAAACCTTCCCACTTCCCACACGACTTCCGAGGCGGTTTCATCATTAGCTTGAGGTAACTTCTTTTCACTATTACTCTCTTCTTTTACTTTTGTACTTTAATCAAAACCTCTCTCTTTGTTCCTTCACCAAAACCCTTCTTCGCCGGATCTTGAATTTTTCTTTCTTACCAATGACTTCTGATTCCGATAGACCCGAGTCTCCGTCTTTTGACGAGAGGCGTTCTAGTAACGACGAGTGCACCCGCCCTGGTGACATTGCCGGTCCGCATTATAGGTCCACTTGTACTCTTCAATCCCTCGAGCGATTGAGAGAGCTTTGCCGGATTCCGCCGGAAATTATGGCGGAAGCTCAAATAGCTTCCCCCACAGAATCTCCAGAGAACCATCGCGATGGTTACTTCTGTGTGTATGAGATTTATTTCAAGGGTTGCGGGCTGACCTTTCCTCTTCCCGAAGCCCTAATTTTATACCTAGCGGCTCTTGAAATCGCTCTTCCTCAATTAACCTCCAATCTTCTCCGTACTATTCTTGGAATTATAACAATCGCGGCGGAGGCCGGTTATGTTATCGGAGTTGCTGAACTAAATGAGCTTCTGAGCGTGAGAAGTTCATCGAAGAAAACGGGATATTTCTCAGCATATCCTAATGCCAACAGGAACATCATTTCGCATCTTCCGAACAAGGATGAAAATTGGCATCATCCTTGGTTTCTAATTAAGAAAACCCCCGCTTCGATTGGAAATCTCGCTGATTTTCTCCCTTCGAAGTGGTCTGCGAAACCCGGTAGTGATTAGGTTGCCCGTATCTTTCCCGGTTGTTTCTTTATCTTTATTGACTAACACCGTTGTTTCATTTCGCAGCTTTCATCGCTTCCAATCTCCCATCTGAAGAGTTCATCGAATTCTTCAAAATAATTCTTGAAGGGGAAACCCTTTGGAATTCCTTCACTCTTGAACGATTCCTGGAAGCTAACCACAGACTCAGGATGAGTCCGCCTGGTCATCTTCACCAAATTCCTCCCCCTCCTTCAACTCAAGGAATGTCATCTCGGGCCCTTGCGGCCAAGCGTAAGTTGCTTTCCAAGCCGATGGCTGAGGCTTGCGAGGAGAAGAAAAAGTTCCTCGCGACTTCTATAGACAAGAAGGACTACAGTAGAACCTTGCTGGTTGATGATGGCAGCACCGAGGGAGCTCGATCTGTCGCTTCCTTCAGATTAACTCCTCGTCGCGATCGTCGCGACTCA